GCACATTAATTAAAACTTTTCTCCATTACTGATTTTTGGTCAGTGCTAGACTGTAGCCTTTACTCCCTGTTTACTGCAGCCATGTGTGACGACGTAATCTGGACGAAGATGTCGGAAAGATGCTTGGTTAAATTAGTTTCAAACAAAATTGAAACACCCACAAATTCACATTTCCTCTGTGACCAACTATTAAAATTCTAATTTTAGTTGAATAAAAACACAGCTACTGTCATAATTTATTTTTGGAGCAATTCTTTAATCTCAAATAGTCTATAGACCTCAGATATTTCACATCAAAACAAGCCGTATTATCGAATTTATTGAAATGCTCTGAGATTATCACATTTCACAGCACTTATTTTCCCCCTCATCTGCTGTTTGTTTCATGTTTGAGCTGTAAAAAAGATTAGAACGCTGATATTGCTTATTTATGATTACCGTAAATGTTATAGTGGCCTGTTCTTGTAAGCGCCTAACTATATGATACAGCTCATATGGTGTGCATCTGTTGAGTCTGATTACCAGCAAAGTGCATTGGCTTGTCAGAAGCTGTTAAATGGTACATTTGGACCGCTCAGCAGCAAGAGATTATCAAATATACTGTTGATTTCTGCATTTTAGGCTCCACCGGGAAAGCTTGGCCTCCTCTGTGTTAATTGCCTCAGGGCGTGCTCTAATTTCATGGTTCATGTCAACTGCTCTCTTTCCAGTCACATTGTACAGGGATAGATTTTGTGTCCAAATGTTAACATAGGCTTCCATAAATCCTTGATTATATTAGAGTAGTGCATCAGACTTTTTTTTTTTTTTTTAGAACATTTTTATTTCTTAAAATGAGCCTTTAAGGACTTAGAAAACAACACATTCTAATTTAAACATGGCCTCTGTAATGCCAAGGGAGTCATTCAGGGCCAAATTGCTGCTTGTGTTGAGCTTTAGTCCATAATTAGGTCAGAATGCAAGTGCTTGTATTGTGATGTTGTCCCATAAGGACTCACAGGGCTCTGGCTCCAGTGTTTGGAGTGTAACCATGTGTGTCACAGTAACTTATTGAGTCCCTCTGGTCCTGGCGCTTTACTCATTGAGTAGGTCTTGCTCACAATATTATGCTCTTATCAAAGCTACTTTTACAGCACTGTAATATGGAGCCCCTATTAAACACAGCATTTAGCTCTTTTGAACTCTGCCCTTATGGGTATTTCACCGGGAAAGTTGGGGGTACGAAAAAGCTCCAAAGTATCTGGACACCTGGCTCTAACTCTGTAAACTCATTCTGGCTCTTTTTCAACTTCCTTCTACTTCATCACCTTCCTGTAATACAAGTCCATCTTGGTTTCCCCGCTCCTTATCGGCCCTCGCCTTTCTTTTTTATTGATCATCAGCTGGTGTTGGGAAGAGAGAGGAGGTTTAATTAAGGAGCCAGACTGGTCTGTCAATTTTACTCAGTGCTGCGTGGAGAGCACCAGACCAAACGATGGTCCTAATAGGGCTTCACACTGTAAACAACACGCACACCTGGACAGCGGAGGGCCTCGGGGAGAACCAAGACGAGAGGGGCTGTTGACAAGTTGGCTCTAATAAAGAGAGAAAAAATGAGCTAATATTTTTCAGCCACAGTCTGATAACATGAGCTTAAGTCTGTGTTACTTCCGCAGAATGTTGAATTGATTCATAAAAGCATTCTGAGCTAGCGGGCAAAACTGGTTAGAAAACAAGTAGAATCAGCCTAGTCAGAGGTTTAAGCTATGTTTTCATACATTTTACCAATTGTGGGGGAAAAAACTAAATATTATTCTCTAAAAAGGTCAGTGGGTGACATGAATAATTACTTTTAAGGGATGCATAAAATCATTCAACTTTTCCCACTTTGTTTTTCCCACCGTAGAAGATAATAATACTGTGTAATATGAATGTGATTATACAACTACTGCCAATAATAGTACTCATATAACCTAAACGGAACATTGCAAAAGTTGAAAAGGTGATTGAGGTTGTATATTCTCTGGCCGTTCTAACTCTAACTTTATTACCTTATTGCACCTCTAAACAAAAGACCTGTGTAGTGACAGTGGCAGATGCTTTTCCTCTTCTTCCATGGACGTGCGCCCCACTGGTCTCATTTAACTTGTTATCAGAGGGGGAAAACTTCTGCAAAATGCCTGCAACTTGCATTATTCTCCTAAACATCTATTGTGGGAAGTCTTATCTCGACAGAAGATACTTTATGCATTCTGCTGTCAATTTCTACTACATTTCATTAAAAATAATAAACATATGAGTAACAATAATGGGCTGCTCAGTGGCGCAGTGGGTAGCACTGCTGCCTTGCAGCAAGAAGGTTCTAGGTTCAATTCCCGGCCTTTTTTTGGCAGATCTTTTGGCATGGAGTTTGCATGTTCTCCCTGAGCTTGCGTGGGTTCTCTCCAGGTACTCCAGCTTCCTCCCACAGTCCAAAAACATGACTGTTAGGTTGATTGGCTTCTCTAAATTGTCCTTAGGGTGTGCATGAATGGTTCTTTGTCCTGTGTTGCCCTGCGATGGACGGGGAACTGCCCATTGACTGCTGGAGATAGGCACCAGCACCCCTTGCGACCCCACTCGGGACAATTTGTAAGAAAATGGATGGATGAGTTACAATAACAATTGATTTCCTTTTTGGATCAATTGACTATTTTTAACAGAATAATACAATTTTGAAATGTATCTAAATTCCTTTAAAACATTAAAGATATCTATCAACTCCTAAATGCTTAGCTTGATTAGTGTGTGTTGTGCTAATTAAGGTATAAAACAGAAAGAAATGTGTCATTTGACATTTACAAGAAGTAATGCATAAGCTCAAACTCAATGTAAGGCATGTACATGAGTAGGACTCCAATATGCCATGGTACGACTAGTGGCATTTAACCAGACCTGGCCCAGTTCGGGCCAGGGTGACCAGACTTCCTCTTTTTCCCAGACATGAACAATTTCAGACCTAAAAAATTGTTCGAAATCATCCGGGATTTTGGTCATTTACAGTGCAGTATTTATTTGAAACACAGAGCTGTCAGCTCCGGAGCCGATCCAGTAACCTGGCGGACAGGGACAGGACAGGGAGCCGGCGGAGGACAGAACGACCCGGTAACGGTAGCCTGGACATCTGTGGCCCCTTGCTCCACTCCCCCCACCATGCCTTGCTATGCCTGCAGTTAGCCAGCAGTGCCAAATGTAGCCCAGACTTTCAGACATTCAGTTTTCTTTAACGCACCAAAGAAAATGTCGGGTTGTCAATAATAATCGAAAACTATATGAAAAAAAGGAAAACAAGTCATTTTCAATTATATACTATAGTACACTGAGAGCTTTCATATCCCTAAGTGCATGTTTTTGTAGCACTTTTTTTCTGCCCTTCCTTTTAAAATATTCCTCTGTTTTGCTTTAATGGACTTGAGAATCTTAGTACCACAAACAAAATTCTGTTATATAAAATGAGAGTCATGGTATCTCATATCATCCTTATCAAGCTCAGGCTTATAAGGCTAGGCTCTACCCGATGTAACATTGCTCTATCATGGCACAACAAGCTACATTCCTTGAACCGCTACTTAATTTCTATTCAATTCATTTTATTTATTTAGCGCTAATTCCTGTCATCTCAAGGCACTTTAAAGAGATAATACAGTCAGAATGGTTAGAAGTTTCTGTTAAGATAAAGCAGTTGAATGCATGGAGTCACTGACTTACAAGACATGCTCCTCCTGAATGAGCTTTTGGCAACAATTTTCTCTTTCCTTTGTCGCTATATCCTTCAGGTCTCATTCACTCCCAATCTGTTGAAGGTAGGAAGAGTACCCAAAAATTGTGATCAAATAAGAGCAATGCCACTTCAACCACATGACAAAGAAGAATATTTTTACAGCAACTCTTGTTTCCACCAGCAAAAGATGGTACACATTTCCAGTCCTCCTGCTATTTTCCTAAAGATATTCAAAAAGTGACCCATCCTTTGTAATCATTCACACAGCAATGCAGATCTAATGAAGTACTAAAAATAAAAAAGTCCATGACCCATTCATTTGGCAAACTCATAAAAGACTGTTTAAATATTCTAGCTGAAAACATTGCAATTACATTCGTTTGATCCGAGGCTTTCAGCGGTATATTTAGTAAAAACTCTCTGAACAGGCTATTTTTCAGACTTTAAACCATTTGATAACATTAGCTTGAGGGGATATGGGGGGACGAAGAATCCCTGTTTCTTTCATCACTAACAGAACAAAGGTTTTACAATGCAATAAATGCGTCTTATATTTAATATTTAAACTCAAAAACACTCCTGTCAAGTCGTTATCTGTCAATATATTCAGGTTTTTATGACTAATTAATTTTTAGATGTTCATAGTCTTAAAAAAGTTTTTTTTTTAATTAAACAATATCCTTTTTACATAAATAGATCAAAGGTTTGATGAATCTCAAACTGTTTTAGAAGCTTTGTTTAAGGTTATTTTGTCTTTTCCAGGACTGATTGGGGTTTTTCTTTTAACAAAAAGCTTTTTTTTTAAGTAAAGATGATAATTTCTATTGAAATATCAGTCTAAAATGTTGTCATATCTGTTCACCAAAAAGAAATCTGGCTGATGCTGGTACTTTGAAAGGCTTCGATTTATGATCTCATCATCAGAATATCTCAGCGTAGTCTTAACATTGTAGGTTTTTGTAACAGATTCAGTGTATTATGATAATGAGTACATATCAAGACTAGGCATCTATGTCTTGTTCTCAGTAAGGCAAAATATAAACACAGCTTTGGGGTTAGTTAAATGGAGCTAACATTGTGCATTATTATCGTCCACTCCAGGATTATGGAGGAACAGACACTCAGCATGCTCCCTCTCACATATGCGTCATTTCACCCTCCTTGTTTGGTCGACAATGAGCCTGGGCTTTAATCGATAAAAACATCAAAACAGCTCTACCTCTGCCCCCTTGTTGACTCTGCATGTCTCTTGTCTCTCCTACAGAGAAAGTCAGTATGCTGTCGGCATTGATCGCTCCCTTCAAGTACATAAGCCCTGGGACTAGCAGCACGGAGGACGAGGACAGTTTTAGTAAGCTTCTGCATGCTTTCTCTCTCTCTTCCCATCTGTCAGGAACAACCTTAGCTTCAGACTGAATGGGGAACTGAAATCTCTGTCACCTGCATAATTAACCATTTTGGGGAAATTAGTTCTTTGATTACAAATGGGTCTTTAAAAAGTGAGCTAATAAATGTTAAATGTAAGTGTTCATGATGAATAAGTCATCAGTTGGGATGGCTGCCTGCCTCCACACTCTCATCTTGAGCTACAAAATACTCACCAGTAAGTGACTCCCATCAAACTGTTATAATTCCTCTGAGCACACTGTTTTTGTTCCCATCCATTGGAAATGCAATACCCCACCCCTTACTCGTCACGACGATTGAAGAGCGCATCACAGCTGTTTCAGGCTTTGCTCTAACATGGGATAAAAGTGTGAAATAAAGAAGGCTCCAAACCTTTTTCCTCATCCTTTTTCTTGGAAAGTCTGAGCATTGCCGCGGCCCTACCCCCATAGCAAATAGGATTGATGCTCTGCAGGGGCCTCGGGGACCTGTGTTTCCTTCTCCCAGACTCAGATTCCAAACCAATTTGGAAGCAGATTACAGGATGATCTGGCAGATAACATCACCATTTCAGGGGATTTGTATTTTGGTTTTAAAATACTTACATATAATAGAGCCCTGTGGTATGAAGTGGGCCCAGCTCTGGGAGTTGATTGTAGATGTGTTCATTACCATTTCATTGTGTATCAAGTGGCTCAATCTGCCTCAAGAGATTTTTCTTGATTCATTTTGTTCAGCCAGGATAAATGAGTGTTGCACAGTAATGATTGCTTTCTATTCATATTTTTTTTAGGTATTTTTTCCATCTCTTCCTAAAAAGTTGTTTCTCCTTTTGTGTGGTTTCACTGCAGGCACAAGCAGTGCAGAAGTAAAGGAAAACCGTAACATCGGTAACTTAGAGGATCTTCCCATCAGCTCTGGAGAATGCCAGTCTCTTTTCTGCTCTGACTCATCGAGAGGGGCAAGCTCTGGCCTGAAGAGGAAACGGCCTCTGGAAGAAGACAATAATGGACACATGTGTCAGCTGCGCCTGATCTATAAGAAACTGTCCTGGTCTGAGGCGCCAAAGAATGCCCTGGTGCAGTTAAACGAGCTTCGACCAGGCCTGCAATACCGCATGGTATCCCAGACTGGCCCTGTCCATGCTCCTGTCTTCTCTATTGCTGTTGAGGTTAATGGACTGACCTTTGAGGGAACAGGACCCACAAAGAAGAAAGCAAAGATGAGGGCTGCAGAAATGGCTCTTAAGTCTTTCATCCAGTTCCCCAATGCTCCCCAGGCGCACCTAGCCATGGGAAGCATCTCAAACCCTTCAGCAGACTTTACATCGGACCAGGCTGACTTCCCAGACACGCTCTTTAAGGAATTTGAATCATCCAATGGCCTCACCATTTGTAACCCTGCAAGCGAGAGTGACTTGCTATCAAGCGAGTTGCTAAGACACGGAAGGCTGCTTCGTCATACGTTGGACCTCATGGTACAGGCTCAGCAGAGGCTTGGTGGGATTGTTCCAGAGCCTGAGACGCCAAAGAGTCCTGTGGCGTTGCTCAATGAGCTCCGGCCAGGCTTGCGTTACGCCTGTCTTTCAGAACGTGCAGAGGGCAGGCGCCTCCGGAGCTTTGTGATGGCTGTAAGGGTGGACGGCCGGATATTTGAGGGCTGTGGTCGTAGCAAGAAGCTTGCCAAGACCCAGGCAGCCCGGAGTGCTCTTCAGGCCCTCTTCAACATCAGGACAGCACCTGAAGGGAGGATGGGCCTCAAAGCCAGCAGAAAGAGTTGTCCTCATTTACCCCAGGTGAGTGAAGTTATGTCCCAAACACCTGGATTCTACTAAGCTTCTTTGGCAGCCACTCTATGTCCTGCAGCGACCTGTAATGACCAAAACAGCAGGCAGGCAGCAAAAATCCAAACACCTTCCAAAGTGTAATTAAGCCAGAAATGAGAATGAAGCTGAAGATAGTGGGATGGAAGAGAAAATCGCCGCAGTACAGATAGAGATATGAGTAAGCAGGCAGGGATTTATTTGGAGTCAAATTTGTCCTCTTTTCATTGTGTAGGCTTGGATATTGAGTAAACAATATCCGTTTGTTAGTCTGTTTTAATAATGAAGCTAATTATTATCCCGGTGCCTCTGACATACAAGGAATCTCCACCCCAAATGAGTTTTCTTTTTGTTTTTTGTTTTTTCCCTCAGCCGTATGTGTTTGCAGAGCTGTAATTGGGAAGGTTTTATAATTTTGCAAAATCTCCTGTTTCCTCATGTGTGGCATCCCAGTGTCTACAAACATTAATTCATTCCGTAGCCCAAAGGAAATGGAAAAGCAAAGAGCAAATCGACAAACAAACCACTGAGACCAATCCCCTGCTCATTTACCCAAATATTTGAGTAGCAATCAGAGCGAGGAAACTGGTTTTGGAAAAAGTTTGGTAAATTGGAGACTAAAGATACAATTTTGGATTGGCTGGCTCTTTTTGATGGCTTGTCCAACCTTTTTGTTTTTATTTCAGATGAAAGAATATCTCCCTTGAGAGTTTAATTCAGCTGATTTAATAGTTCCTCGTGTTTGTGTGGATATCAGCCCCTTCCAGGTCATGGCCATGCTGACAACTGATAGCAACATTTTAAATTCTCTCCTCTGTCCTATTATACCATGCAGGGTTGTGTAAGCCACCGGCCTCTTGCGATCTTCAATGGAAAAATTAAGCTGTTGACATCCAAAATATCTTCACCCAAGCACCTTTTCTTGAACCTTCTCCTTTTTCTGCATGCACATGCATGCGCATGCATTAGCATTCCTTTTTGAGCCTTGCAGAAATAAACAGGCAAAAGTCTCTTTCCCCAGAGCACAACATCAACCCAACAGACCTGCACATGTTTGCCTGGGAGAAACTTCTTCTTTTCCTCCCGACTGCCATGGTGTCTAAAAGGATTTTAAAAGGATTTGCTGCACCCATTTAGTTCCAGAAAGCAGTCGCTTGTGGAATTTCTTGAAAGTCAAGCGTGCTGTCTGCCAGCCTCCAAAAACATTTTTATTGGGAAAGGACAAACATAATCCATATGATATTCATGCCTGATTGCGTGTGTGAACGAAAGAATACCTGCCTGGTGGGGTGTGCTGCCAGGCGTGTGTTTTATGGGGTACAATGGGAAACGGGGGATGAGTAATGTTAAAGCAAAGCCGCCAAGCTCACACTCACATGTGAGTCAGTCCTGATGCCAGGCACTGATTGCACGGATAGTGGTTGAGTACCCTGCAGATGTGATGCATAATTTGGCGTAGGCTGCCAGATGTAGCCTGGGGATAGTGCAAACGGTGTGGTGTTATGCCAACTTATGTGTGCCAGCTCAGACTGTTCTCTCTCCCCACAATTCCCTGCAGCTCTACCTGTTGCAGAATAAGACTGAGCTGGGTGAAATGTTCAACAAAGGGTATATTGGCAATACCTGTTAAGATAACAGAAAGGGTTCTGCTTGATATAGCTTGAACAATTAATATGTCAGGGATCTATGCAGACCTAGTTGTTGCCAGTAATTCTATGTGATGTGCTGAATGGATGAAAATATCCATAGAAATGTAAAAACTACTTGTAAGGCAATTAAAGTTATTGACAGTTTTTGTATTTATCTTAAAAGGTTTAATTGCTTGTTCATTGCTTTAGATAGAAACAATTAGAAAAAATAGATTAGTTTAAATATTCAACAGGTTATTATTTACACCAAATAAGGGCAGATATGATTCAGTGGGAGAAAAGGAAAACATTTTAAATATGAATTGGTAGCTGCGACTTTTAGAGTAAAAAAAATTATTTTTATTAGCCTTTGCTCTTGGACTTCTGTTTGCATCGCAGCCACTAAAATCTATGTGTTTGGTTGATATCTTGTCAAAGACCAACATAAAAAGGTGCATAATTGTAAAACACAATGTTTTCAGTATTTAAAAACATTTGAATTTTGTGACATGCATTAATTTTTTGCCACCTGGTAAAATTTTGTTACAAAGGTTTTTAATACTTTTACCCATTTATTTTTTTCAAAACACGTCTAACTTAACTCAAGTCGAATGGACAACTTTGTTGAGGTTTTGCTACATTTACCGTATTTCCCAGACTATAAGCTGCTACTTTTTTCCCACACTTTGAACCATGCAGCTTATAAGAAGGTGCAGCTTTTCTGTGGACTTTTCTTAACCGCCAGATGGGAAAGTCAAAATGAAAGAATAAGGGGCTAATTTTGATTTAGCGTAAGAACATGCTAAGAGTAGTCACGACGGAGAACAAATGTCCTGAATTCATACATTTTTACAATTATTTGCGTTAAAGCTGCTAAACCAATGAAGAAACTGGTTCAACTCCTGCAGAGCTGAAATAAAGAGCTGATGAAGCCCCATCTTTCAGTAGAAGCTCTTATGTCTGTGAGCCAATAAATTAACGGGAACTAGGATTCTTCTTCGTCCCTACTCTAGAGGCTATATGTAAAGCTCCCCCTACAGGTTTGGTGGGAGACTGTTCAGTAAATATCTTTTCAGTTCAATTCAGTTTATTTCTATAGCACCAATTCACAACACGTCATCTCAAGGCACTTTACAGTTCAACCAGATCATAAAGTCAAAGTTTTCTATCTAAGGAAAACAGTTGATTGCATTGACTCATTTATCCCTCACACTAGGCATGCTTGTAGCGACAGTGGAGAGGAAAAACTCCCTTTTAACAAGAAGAAACCTCCAGCAGAACCAGGCTCAGTGTGAGCGGCCATCTACCGATGCCGACTGGGGTTCAAGGAGACAGAAGCAGAGATACAAAAAGCAACTGTAAAAGGCGGCCCCGTCCAGGAAACGCAGAGCCAGGCAGACGAGCTCCGAGCCAGCTCCCATGTCAGAGGATGAAGAGAGCACACCCAGTTAGTCACAGTCAGAGAAACAGGACTATACTTAAAACAGGCCAAGCTCGAACATCATTAAACAAGGGTGTTGATGGCAGCAGCACAGCTGATATTTCTCTCCAGGATGGAGTCACAGCCAAACAGGAACCAAGGAGGCAAAGCTACTATGAGAAAAAACAGAGAGAGCAGAACATTAGAGATTGAACAAACAGATTCTGCAGAGTGGGAGAATAGAGATAGAATGAAACAGAATGGTGAAATGGGGGTCCCTATGTCCTCCAGCAGTCTAAGCCTATAGCAGCATAACTATAGAGATAGCTCAGGATAACCTGAGCCACTCTAACTATAAGCTTTATCAAAAAGGAAAGTTTTAAGCCTAGTCCTAAAAGTAGACAGCGTGTCTGCCACACGGACTAAAACTGGTAGTTGGTTCCACAGGAGAGGAGCCTGATAACTAAAAGATCTGCCTCCCATTCTACTTTTAGAAATTCTAGGAACCACTAGTAAACCTGCAGATTGAGAGTGAATTGCTCTTTTAGGAACATAAGGAACACTCATTTCTCTGATATAAGATGTAGCTTGGCTATCTGCAGCTTTTATTCCGGTGCAGCTTATTTAAGTACTACTTTTCCAGTTTTTTCAAAAAAATTAGCGGGCATGGTGAGGTGCGCTCTATAGTCTGGAAAATATGGTAGTCTTTGTCATTATTTAGATACATCTTCATAGTTTTCCAACAAGATTCCTAGGTGCTTGCTATTGAGAACTTTCCTGACTGCTCAATGCTGCCACCTCCAAGCATTTTTTGTTTCAGGGAGATTGGTGGTGCTTGTCTTTAGTTTTGCATGTAGGACCAAAAGTTTTACTTTGTTCTACTTTAACAGAGCACCTCTCGCACTATGCCTGTCTGTGCTTTATCCCCAGTTATCTTTTCCTTGACTCTTCCATTTCGATTCCCTCTATACACTAGTTATTTTATGTAACTTTAAAAACTGTAACCCAAACAGAGAGAACTCCCAGTTATTGCTAAACTTTGCCATTTGGGAACACTACAGTTTATCATGCAGCCAGAGTGGAGAGGAAAATTTAATGTTGGCGTACAAAACTTTCAACAGCAACAATTAAATCAACCCAAACTCTGTATTTGGTGTAAAATGCAAGACATAGGAATCTCCATTGATCAGAGACGACGTCACAGAAAACAGCTATGCATGTTGCATGTAGGTACAGTTGGGACATTTGATTGTTGAACTATGAAAAATAACACCTAGGTGATTTAAGCATGTTTTATTATTAGTCTTATTTAAAGATTGTTTAAACAATAATTAAACCACAAAGCATTTTCCTGATGGGTACTTTGTTGTATGATCTGGTTGAACTGTAAAGTGCCTTGAGATGACATGTGTTGTGAATTTGGCGCTATATAAATAAACTGAATTGAATTGAATTATGATCTGTCCAAGTATGGGTTTTGCTTTCTTATACTACTTTTTTATTGAAAAACAATCAAACAAATCTCCAGTCAGTGCCATGTCTCAACCTTTTTTTAGGTTTAAAAAACAATATTTTATATATACTTTTTCAATTTTCCTTATTTGAAGTGTACTAAAAAAAAAACATACTCTGACTTTTGTGTATGGTTACACCCTCCGACAAGCTTTACCATCCTGAGCAGTAAACAGTTTGTCGGCCACTCTATAATTAACATAGTGAGAAGGGCTTCCTATCTGGTCTGGCTCTCTGCCATTGTTGCTTTTGTCTAACGATCAAAATGCTGCCACACAAACAATAAAAAATGATGGATGTATCTCAAGTATTCTCCAGAGAGCCCTGTGAGAAGTCTTAAATGTTTAATTCAGTCAACACAATAGCTTAAGTTACTTCTCTTCTCTCTTTAGAAAACTATATAGGATTAAATG